CGAGTGGAAAGCCTTGACACCGAGCACCCGTGATACCAGCAATCGCAGCGGTAGTATTACACGTTGCATGTTGCGTACGAGTACTTTGCGCATGTTGCGTACATACAGTTAGTAAGTAGGTCGTCTTCGTTTGCTTCGTACCTGGGTGTGGCCGTCCATGCAGTTGTTCCCAACACCACCTGGACTCGTCAAGATCCGAGACCTTGTCCGCCTGTTGATTCGCTCGATGTGGCCTGATTCTTGCTGTATCCCTTCTCGCTATTCTTCAATTCCCGCCAATTAACCCAGATTATCCCGCCGCCACTAGGCTGTGATTCGCCCCCTTGTGCGTGCGTACGGCTGAAGTGACGCTTGCTTTAGTCCCGCATCGATAGCCTGCTCCTGGTGTTGCGTTTACATCCAACGTCCATCCATCCATCCATCCCGTTTTCATTAGCCCAGACCTCTTGAGCAATCCCGAGACCTCCTCTGGCGCCAACGCATGCACTCTGTCGATCTAGGGCGTAGCGCCCATCCGTGTCGCACATCAAAACTGGAGTCGTCTCGAGAGCAAACCCCCCTCCCTTCACCTCCCTTGCCTCGTGCCTGTTTTTGCTTTTTTACTGTTGTCTCTTTCCTGCGTCTCTAGCTGGGAGTGCTGGGAGCCGGGCGTTGTCCTCTGATAGAGTGCTGAGTCAACCTGCTAATGTTGCCTGATTCACATTGCAGTAACTGCCAAAGCAGAGCAAGCCTCCTTGCATCTCATCGACGGCTCTAGAACTCCAGGTGCTCACCTGGATACCCGGACTACTTATCCCGCACACGCAGCCCGCCAGGCCATCCGAGCCGGGACATAATCCCACGCTGGCGCCTTTTTTTCCCTTTTTCCTCTTGGCTTTCATCAATCGGGGACTTGGGGTGCCCGTCTGATAATGCATGTGTAATCTATCAATGCAGTTTGAAGCCACCAGCAGCAGCAGAGCGGGTATATGTCCGCAGAGGTGCATCACACCAACAAGCACTCAATGCTACCCATGGCTACAGGTGAACCATCAGCTTTGAGGCCTCAGACGACCAACAGCAAGTCGGTGATAGCACCATCATTTAGCCGGTCTGAACATACGCATAGCAGCACGTCGATTTAGTTCCCTACTTGAGCGGGCCTAGCCCATTCGTCAGCTCAGCACCGGACCATCTTGACAGCCACGCACGGTAGTAGTGATTCTGCAACTGCTAACTCCGAATCCTCAATTTGCAAACAAGTAGTACTATGTAAGCTGATAGGCGTCGGGAACAACAGAAGTCGAGAACCGGTCGAAAAAAGAGACAAGAGTCGCCTTCAAACAATGTACAGGCAGTACGCATCCTGCTGCCTGTGACAAATATGCCCTGTACAGGGAACTATTGTCTCGATTCGAACACGGCGGCTCTTATTCCGCGGCTGTTTTTTGCGCTCTCTGCGTCGTCTCTCCCCTTCCAAGGCTCGCTTGCGTTTTATCCTTCAGCCCAGCGTCTCTACCTGGATCCAAGGCAAACTCGATGCCGCTAGCTGTGCTTCGTACGAGAAGCCCAGCGGTTCCGTGTGGGAAAAGAACGGGGTAATGCTCCGTAGCCCATGGCTAGTCCGAAGCCGCGGGCATGCAGCTGGGAACGCCAGCTGATGGAGGTGGTGGCCAGGCATCCTTAGTAAGGCATTGGGTAAGATAGTGCTAAAACCATCGTGGTGTTGTTTGGCTGCGAATCCCCCCCCTGGACACACGAGCCGAAGCACACAACTGCCTCGTTCTAACCTTCTAAGCAGGGTTCGGACTACGGAGTATTATAGACGAATACTATGTGCTTCAAGTCTCGCTCTTCAATTACTTCACGATCCTTTTCCGCCACTTTCTGTCTACGTCCCTGTCTTCTCACCCCAGCTCAAAACGCCTCGAGGCATGGAGCACAAGCAGGCGAGATGCCTTCTTCTTTGCACACCCCCCCTACCCTCTCATTTTCGCCCTCCAACAAGCCAGAAACCTCAAATACTAACCCCCGTCCGGATATGCAGATCAGCGGTTTACGAACAATCGGGGAGCCTGAATCTCTGGACCCGCCTGCAAGAGCAAGGGGCGTTTAAGAGACATCCTGGACGCTCCAGGTCCAAGCAATCACACCCATGCAAAATGTCCCTATGCCGACTGCTGCTGCAGCTGTACTCCATACGTGTACATACACTTGTACATACACTATTGCCGTTGCTGCTGTCTCTCGTCTCTTCCCAGCCGCGCCCGCGCGGATATTTCCTCGTTTGGAAAGGCGGGCTGCTTCGCCTCTCCTCTCCCTTCTCGCAGAAACCTTGGGGGAAGCAAGTTTGTGCGAACATTGCATGTTCAGGTAATTGGCCACTTTGACTCTCGCAAATCCTACGTCCCCTATCGCCAACGCCAATGGCCGCCCCCCGCTGCGCGCGCCCTCTTTCTTTTGTCAATCTTATTGCTGCTATCTCTCGTGTGCTCAACCGTCCTGCTTGGCATCGTCGTATGGATGCATCCTGATGGCTCTATCACAAAATTAACTGGCCACCCTCCCTATATTCCTTCATACTACCCAAGGGGAAACGCCCACCCAAGGATAAGCCTTACGAATCACGCAATTCAGCAGAACAAGGGAAGAGGACTCGGCTTCAGAGAGAACAAGAGATTAAGCTTTTTAACTTTGCCTTTTAGAAAGGCTCAAGACAGCAGAATTGCAACCACCACCACCAGCCAAATCAGGCCAAAACGCAAACATATTAAACTGAAAATTGAGGTGTGGCTATTCCCGATCCTTGCCACCGCCCAACGAGTATGTACTATCGCCTTACTTCTATCTTCTGTTGCCTGGTTCTTTGGCGGCTGTCGGCCTTCGGCTCTCCCTTGTGGTGTTGATTTACTTTCCTAAAACGAACCTTGCAAACGCCCAATATCAATATCGATGCGTGCCCCCTCGATCTAGCTATGTCTCCCTCATGCTCCGTGCTTACGATGCAGCGTATGTCCCCATCGTAGCATTGCGCTGCCGCGGCATTAGCATCCGCCTCGCCTGTCCTGTCCGCTGCTGGATGCTATGTATGTTCCAAACCCTTCGATTTGCTGGCGCTCGCGGCCCCCTGGTTTGTGACCTGTTCCTCAGCTGCATTGCCGAATGTCTCGGCAGACAAAGCTCTACTACTACCACTACATGCTACCACATAGACATACCTGGAAAATCGTAGTTCTGTACTACACTCACTCCCGAATCTGTCAAGCAAGACAAAAAGCAAAGAGCTCCCAGATACGAGTAGTATCTAATTCATGCCAGGAACTTTCATTACGAAGCGGTGCTATTCCCGACACGTAGATATCTTTACACGTACGGAGTATCTTAACCCAGCTTACCTTATTAGTTTTATAGACAAGGAGGTAAGAAGTATAAAGTTGGAGTTGCACTTCCACAAAAGGCAGCCTTTCAACCAAACCCATAGCTGTATCCAGGTTCCCAGGCAAAAAACAGCCGTTTTACCGTCCTCGGCACACCCGCGTTTCAAAGTGCCGCTCCCTCGCACGAGCCACACACCGGAGGGATTTCCCGCTGGGATCCTCTTCTTAGCCATCCATACGTTTTTTTTGCTTTTTTACTTCTTTCTCCGTCCTGCGTTAGTACAACACACACATATACATATGTAACACTCGTAGTAGTACTCCGTAAAGAAGAAAGGCGAAGGAGGAGGATCGACATGGGGAAACCGAAAAGCACCAACCAGCCCAACCCGTTCCTTTTTTTTTCTTTTTTGGGGCTTTCATCAAGGGGGAAGAGAGGGGCGTGAGACAGACATGGCGGACGGGCGATTTTTTCGCGTAGAAGCCGATGCCTGTACTACATACATACCTTTCCAACCTATGTATGTATGTGTTTTCGTACAGAGCTACATATGATCCTATCCAGCGGGTTTCCATTCATTAGCGAAGAAATTCTCAGTTGTTGAAAATTCATGAAACAACTTGACAAAACAGTTTGATGGGGATGACTTCTTTCAATACGGAAATAAAGGGTCGGATATACATAAAACACTGTACTGGGGGAGTAAGTGAAGAGAAAGAGGCAGATAGATCTCCGTACTAGGTAGGTGTGGGGATCGATCGCCCTGGGGGATGACAAAACCGTTACGAGAAATGTTTTAACCAAGGGCAACAAAGGAAAATGAGAACGGAAGAGGAAAAAAACCGCCCGTTTCGTTTGTCTACCCGCGGAGAAAAGGTGAGACAAATCGGGGTTTGGTTGGTTGCACAGAAAAAGGAGGCAAAAAAAGGCCAAAGCAGCAAAATCGACTTCAACCTCAGCTCCCATTAAAGACACAAGTAGTAAATGGGAACTCATCCACAGGACACAATCACGGATCAGTAATACCAAAGGAGCACGAAATCAAGCGAAGATAGTATAAAGCAAGCAAATGATTGTAAAATGTTTGCATCTCGCGCGAGATTCGATTGCATCTATATACACCCATGACTAAAAAGTAGCTATTCCTTTTTTCCCTCTCAATAGCTGACCACCCATGATTTCCTTGTTGCTCCTTTGGTGAAAAGCAAGTCCAAAAGCAAACGCCATACTGATGCACTGCTCTGCAATTTGGTTTTCCCAGAGCTCCCTCCCAGTAAGAATGTCCCATAGACATGATACAAAAACTGTTGTAGACCGACAAAACCCAACTTCATGAACACGTCCCGAGACTTGTCGAAAGACAAGACAAAAAAAAAAGGAGCAGGACACTTTCCTCCCCGGCGCCATGCAGACCCAGCAGACAAGACAAGATAAAGAAGATGTAAGAAAAGACAAGAATGAAATGAACAAGCCCTCCTGAGGCTCGGAATTTTCGCCCGTGCGACCTGTTGGCATCTTCGTGCCTTCTAAATTTCCCAGCTCTTTTATGGTGTGCGGATGCCCTTCATCCGACTTTTTTCCTTGACAAATTGTGCGCGAAGAAGAAAAGAAAAAGAAAAGATATAGCCCAAGGCGTTGAGCGTTTAGGCAAGGAGAATAGGTCCCTTGCCGACGTCAAAGCCATGGCAGCCTCGCTCGTGCCGCTTCATATTGCTCCGGACGCTAAAGGCCTTGCCACAGCCGGAGTGAGGGCACTTGAAGGGCTTCTCGCCAGTGTGCGAGTGGCTGTGGATGCGCAGGCTGCTGGGCCGGCTAAAGGCCTTGTTACAAGTTTGGCAAATGTATCGGTCCTGGGTGGGCGGGAAGGGAATCCCGTTGGAAGGGTTGAGGTAGTGGTGATGCTGCCAGACGTAGCCACCCGAGGATGTTACGCTGAGAGGGCTAGGAGGCGGCGGCGGGAATGATTGGGGCAGCGGACGCTGATAGTGAAGACCAGGCACCTGAGGAGGAGGAGGAGGCGGAGGTAGACTCTGCACGGGATAGTAGTTGCTGGCAGGAGACTGGGCAGATGATGCCATGGCAGGCTGCTGCTGGGCAGCCGAGGTTGAGATGGTAGGCCGAGAGGGCGCCATTCGATGACGATGCGCATCATGGGCCTCTACAGGGGGAGTGGTCTCGTAGTAGCGGCTAGGTGCAGCGTGCGAGATGCTGCTGGGCTGGCTGGACGGAGAGCGACGGATGTCAAACGACGCCTCTGTGGACATGGGCGGTGTGGGTGGCAGCGCCCTGTGTCGAGAAGACGGGCGGCTCTCAGCCTTGGGATAGGGTCGAGGAGAGCTGTGCTGAGACTTGAAGGCCGCTTCGCTCGCCAGCGAGCCTGCGTCGGCAAGGCCCAGCAGGTTGGAGATGGAGGGCAGGGAGCACTTTGGCTCGTCCATGGGCGGCGACGGAGGCGGCCGGTAATATCCCGAATACTGTGTCCCATACGGGGGAGATGTGAAGGAAGAGACCAACGCCATTGTGAAGGTTGGTTGGTTGGTTGTTGAGGCGGGAGGGAAGAGTCAGAAAGGGTATGTGAGGCAGCCTCGAGAGAGAGTCGGGCGCAGACGTCGAGTTTGTCGTAAATAATGGTCCGTTTATTAGAGATCAGAGTCGAGAGTCATCGACTACTTCGACAGTGGGGTTGTTGGCGTTGATTAGCAAGCAAAGATGCACCAAATTCGTCCGTCGTCGAATCTTTCGATCCAAAGAAGAACCAGAAGGAGGGGGACTGGAGATGGTATATAAGTAGTATGTAGCTTGAGCCGCTCTGAGAACAAGACCAGCGGTTTGGGGTGTGGAGCGGCATATCAGATCTGTCTTCCGTAGACATTAAGTATCCCACACGCCAGGCTAGGAAGTGACCCCCCGGCCTTTGGACATCGCAGATATTAGGAGTGGGACACGCCCCCCCTGGTCAGGTCAGAAGAAGCCAAAGCCATCATTCCCAAGAAAAGTCTGGGAAGCTCGGCCCATCTAACCATACCAGGGGGGCAAGAGGGCTTGAACAACTGGGGTGGAAACGGGCGTCCAGGCCACTAAGACGTAGGGGGTGGATGGAGATGACATCGACTTGCAGGGCACCTCTAGGCTTTCGGAATTGGGGCCTCGCAGCACTTGTGCCTTCTCCAAGGGAGGAAACGGACCAGGTCCAAGAAAAAAGTGGGAGTGCCGTTAGCCTCACCGGCAGGGGGTGGTGGCACGACACGAGGCGTGTCCCAAGGTGGGGGCCTATTTTGGGTCGCTCTCCTTGACCGGGACCGCGGATAGAGATCGTAGGCGTGGGTGGTATTGCATAGTGGTGGCTGAACGGAGCTCCAGGGATTGTCATCAGGGATCATTGTGTGGTCAAAGCCGTTGGCAGAGGTGGGCCGCAACGGAGAGCACTTGTGCTGTACAAGTAAACGTGAGCGACGAGCGCCGAGCGTCCCTGGTCCTAGACGCCAAATTTCTTCCTTCTTTCACAGCTTCTGGATTGGCATCCGCAACAGACGCGTGCTTGTGCTTATCCGTACCCCAAGTCCGGAGTACGAAGTAATACGCAGCCGCCGGAGGTGTGGCTTTCAGTCATGTTGTTGACTGCCCAGGCGCTGGCTTTGTTGCTGGCTTTGTCTGCGGGCTTGCAGATGGGGAAACAAAGGAGTTTTGTGTCGATGCGAGTCGGTCTTTGCCCAGACGCATCGACGACGGCGGCCGCATCCCCAGCTAAGGACTGCCTCGCATAGCAGCACATTGTTAGCTCGTTAGCATGCAGTCTGCTTGCCTTGAAGCAGCAGGAGTACGAGTAGTGGTAACACGTCGTAGCGTTTCTATTCGCCCGTCGCCCGTAAACCAAAGCAAAGGGGAATCGTTGAGGCGCCCCGAGAAGCCGCCCCGCGTCGGAAATCCCCCCTTCTTTGGAGCTCCCTGGCACAACTTGAGACGATCTACGACTCGCGGACCGTGGATCACGGCGCTCCGTCTGCTCCAACGTGCCAAGCTGATGAGTAATGCCCGCGGATGCGTTAAAGGTGACACGCGAGTTCGACGCAGGACCTGAGCTGGCGACGGCGCTCCGTCGTTTTCTAATGCGATCAAAGTCGTCATCGGGGCGTCACAGCGACCAGCAATCTCGATCCGTTTGATGGACGGACGTAAAAAAAGACGGTCTGCGGACCTGGACAAGGCTGTGACTCTAATGTCGTACTCTGGAATTAACTTGTCCAGTCAGACAAATTCATACCTGTTCGAGTCTCTAGACTCAACGCCTCACGCCTTTTCTCTGTCTCCAGATCATGTCTTCCACGACACCCGATCCAGTCTCGAGTTGCGACGGGATCCTCCGCCCCTTCGGTGAACACCTCAACTCGTGCGGTGGCGGTCTGCGATGGACTTCGGCAAACTTTCGTCGTGGAACTCGTGCTGGCGCCGGCGTTATCTCGAGCTGCAGCCAGGGCTAGCTCCGTTCTAGGCCTTCCATCTCCAAGCGCTAGCAAACAGTTAATCAATGCCGCAAGTCGCGGTTTTGCAGCGCGGGCGGGCATCACCTCGTGGCGTGGCGTCCAGTCTGGAGTGCGCCTCGCTGCCATGGGGGACGCAGTACAGGCTAATTAATGATCGTCGTGCTAGCAGAGGCCCAGGGAGCAGCCAGTAGATTGTCATCGGGTTGCGTGATTCTTTCAGTTAGACCTAGTCGATGCAGGCGCCACTGGTTGAGACCCTGGCTCTGCCAGCATGAGCACAAAGGTGTGTCATGATCTGCCAGTATCAAGGAGGGCTCACGGGGGCAGGGGGTTAGCTTGTCTCTTCATTGTTCTCAACGGAGTGTGGCCCGCGTTTGGGACCTCTTGTCACCGTTTTGAGCGTGTCCGCCTGCTTCATCCAGGCCGTAGCAGGTACAATACGGTACCAGAGAGCTTCAAGTTGTGTCCTCCTCAAAGGGCTGATGCTACGTGCGTCGTCATAACTAGGTTAATCTTCCTTGCTCGTACTTGTAAGGTCGGGGGGTGCTGTTGAACCCCCAAAGAGACTGCAAAACGGCAAAACGCCCCGGCGCTCGGCTGAACCGTCCTTCTCTCTGCTCGTGCGAGCTGAACATGGACTCACCAATACCGACTCCGTATGCGCAGCTAGCATACGAAGTGCGAGCGTTGCATGTTGGTGTATAGCTGCATTCTCAACTGCTGTTGTGCGGAGGAGCACCACCTTGTCAAACTGCCGTTGTTCGATCGCCAGCTAGCCATCTCCAACCAGCGCGGGCCTCGAGTTCTCCTGCACGCTCGCGGCTCTCTTGATGGGGTCCATGGCTATCCCCCTCCCAAAACAGAGAAACCATGCAGTTTCCTCGTCAGCAGGGCCTTCGAAAATTTTGTCGATCTTATTTCCCAGATGTTGCACCCTTGACAGGGGGTGAGGTCTCACGGTCATTGAATTACCTAGTATTACGGGTAATTGCAATCCGTTAGGGCAGGTGTCTGGGTCCGCGTGGAGCATATCCATATTTGAGCCGCTGAAATGAGCTGTCAAGATGTTCTGGAAGGTCAGTGTCCTGCCCCCCGGGCGACGGAGATGTTGAACTTGATGTTGTCGTAGGGAGGAAAAAATAATACTCCGGAACAGTCTCCCGGACACTTCCCTCCCTACCGGCGCCTTGGTCCGGGTTGGAGGGAATAAGAGAAACCGCAAATGACGAGCCTATTCAAGCCTCTTTGTCAGCCCGTATAGCGTCCTTCATCGCAATACCAAGGCACGGGCCAAGTACCAACGAACATGTACGAACCAACTTGAATTCGCTGTGATCATCACGGGTAAATGCAATCATGCGTCATGGACGATGGGAGGCTCGCAGCCCATGCTGAACCAGCTTGCATCCCTTGGGACAGTCATTTACTCTGCAAATTAGCAGTCTTCGCCCATTCGTTGACGTCGAAACGCTTGTGGTATTTGGCCGAGGAGGTTCAACGCTTCTTTGTAGCCGCCGTCGTACCTGAGGCACTCCGTGTGCTCCTTGCTCCGCACCAACTCCGCAATTTTGGCACACGGAGTTGAATGAACATCGCTCTGCCGGCCAAGTTGTGAAACAGAATGCCGATGAAAGCGGCCGGCTCCTGCTCTCCATGACGACGCCTCTTTCTTGAGAAGAGTGCTACCATACTGTATGTGATGCCCGTATCGAGACGACACTGTAACCATTGTACAGGCTGGGGAGGCCGGGGCCTTGGACGTGGCGAGATATGGCTGACTTCCCCTGTGGATTTGCCTCGGCCCGCAGAGGCACCCGCAGAGCTCACAAGTCTTGGGCACGAGGACTGATCGCCATCATCAAAGTTTAGCCTTGAGGCATCACTCCACTCGATCTGCCAATGGCTATCAGTATATGTACCATGAAAAGTTGGCGAGGCTGCACGGAGGGATCGTCCTCGATGATACAGCAGGAGGCCAAAGGTACGACGTTCGCGAAGCAACGGCGTACAAAACTTGCAAGAGGCAGGAGAGGCAGGATACAATATGAGCCGGTTCCAGAAGATCTGCCTCCATGACGAATGAATAAGGTCCCTGGTGAGCTAGTGCCGGGATAGACTTCCAGAATAGTTTAGGGGGCGCTGGCTGGGTGCGTTGATCAGCAACGTGCAGGAAGATCCTCCCGCCCGCCAGAATGAAACCCATGGACGCTATCGCTGTTGCACGGCTTTCGAGGACGGTTAACGCCCAAGCTCCATATGAGCCAACCACCAAGCACTCACGGCACGGGGCAGCACCAAGTCGAAGCCGACGTAGCATTCGAGCTTCATCACCAACAGCTTGGACCATCACCGGCAAGGAAACAAAGTCGGGCCCCTGCTCCGCGGCTCACTTGTCCAATTCAGTCATAACAGTCCGACCTTGTCCGAACCTATCGAAGCGGTGGATCGCTCCGCCCAGCCGACGGGAAAGCGCCGATGCTAGCTCCAGGACCCAATGGACGCACAGTCCAACTCGGACTCGTGTGAAGAAATCCAGACTTGCAGGAGTCATTTGGCCCATGGACGGTGTTGGGCTGTGGCAAGAAGGCGAGCAACGACGGACGCGCCCCGACGATGGGACCAGGTCGCAGTATGCACTCCGTACTCCGTACAGACGGTGAAGTCGCATCAGTTATGTCAGCTAATTACTAGGAGTTATTTTTAGCCCGGGCTTCAAGGACGGCGATAGCAAGGGAGCACGGAAGAGCAGACCACGTAGTACGCTGTAGCCACCAAGATTGCTACAGCTTCATATGCCCGAATGCGTCCTGACAGCCGTCAAGCTGCCATCGCGCAGTCGATCAGCCTGAGCGGTCTGCGCATCAAACAGGTTGACAGGCAAGGTGCAATCGGTCATGCGTCGCCACCTCACGGCTTCGGCGACTCCTCGTATGGCCAAGGTCTGCAGGAATCGAGCTTGGTCTGGCTTCGGTCTCTTCAGTGATAGTTGGGTCGATCTGCAGCCGATCGCTCTCTGTGAGATGAGCAGAGGCAGGATT